CTACAGTCTGCTGCTGCCAAATACTGTCCCCCTGCAATATTCTACAGCCCACTAGTCTTCTGCCAAATACTGTCCCCCTGCAATATTCTACAGCCAACTACAGTCTGCTACCAAATACTCTCCCCCTGCAATATTCTACAGCCCACTAGTCTGCTGCTGCCAAATATTGCAGTACCCTTTGCAATCCCTTTGCAATCCATTGCAGCCATCCTCAACCTACAGTATATGCTGTTCTGTAGTGCAGTTACCTCTAGTCAATTGCCCTCCTATTCCTATGCTATCCCAATGCCCCTCCCTCAATATATCTTCTCTCAATCTTTCCCCTTTCATCCTTCCCCGCCTTTCTCTTTCCCTCTGCCCTGCCTCCCTAACTCTCCTGCTGCCCCCGTCTCCCACTGCCTCCCTCTCCCTCTTTCTCTTTTTCTTCCCTGTTCCTTCCTTCTCCTGGCCCTGGCCCTGGCCCTGGCTGTCGGTCACTGCAGCACTGTGCCTTAACAGCTCCCAGCGCTGGCAGCGTCTGCGCTCAGATGGCTTGATCGCTAACCCCTTCTCTCTGTGTCTGTGTGTGTGTGTGTGTCTCTCTCTGTCTGTCACACTCTCTGCCTGTTTGTCTTTCTGTCTGTCTGGCCTTCGCTGCCTGTCTGGCAGGAGGAGACGAAGAATGTCCAGGACTCAGGTACTGGAAAGTTACTGCACTCTAGAGCCACTTCCCTGACATTAGACATGAATTCTTCCCTTTGCCCTGTACCGACCCATTTATAATACGTCCCCTTCATCCTCACTTGTCTGGGCTGGCGCCCCCTCCTGGTCACTTCTGTGGAAATTAGCAGGTTACCTGTAAGGGAGTTGACCCTTATTGTAAGAAACAACAGTGCAGAACCACCCATTGGGTCGACCCCTGTCACCCAAACACACACCAACATCCCCCAGACTCCCCCAGCTCTAGACTGTGAGACTGCACTGGAGCATCGGTCTCATCTCTTTAACCAAATACTGCTCCCCTGCACTGTGCCTCATTGCTAAACTGAAGGGAACCTTGCCCACGTAAAATGAGGAAAGATCATCTTCTCTTCTCTTGCACTACAGAAGGCAGAGCGAGAAATGGTCACAGCCAGCCCTGTGTCTCTCAGTGTGCCTGTGTGTACTCCCAGACTGCAGTGTCTGTGTGTCTAACAGAGGGTTTCCTTTGCTCCTGTCAGAGCTCTGGTCAGCAGATTCCTCTGGTGGTGGAGAGTTGCATTCGCTTCATCAACTTGCATGGTGAGAACGGCACGGCGCACTATTACTGTACATGCTGTGGTCTGCTATGGCCACTGCTCACACACTGCACACATGCTATATACTACTATCAGTTTTGCACACCCTATACACACACTGTAAAGTCTGCTGTAAAGTACATGTTGTGTTGTAAGCAATACACACTCAGGAGCTGTGCTGTGTGATAACTGATACTGTATTATACATGTTGGACCGGGGGGGGGGGCTGATAAATTCACAAGGAGTGCAATGTGAACTCAAGCTCCCTGATAAAGCAGGACCAGAGGAAAATAGAAGGAGATCCCTTTGGGTCTTTATGCACAGACATGGCAAGTCCAGGAACAAGCTTCCCAGCCAAACAGTTTTATCCGAGACTTCGATCCTCCATGCAGTGGCTGCAGTGCTGAGAATGTTGAGACTGATTATCTAGATCATGGTCTCTCTTAACCTTGTCCCTTAGCTCTCTCTGTTGCTCAGTGGCTGTCCTTGCTGTGGTCTCTCTGGTAGGTCTGCACCATGAGGGGATCTTCAGAGTGCCTGGTTCCCAGTCAGAGGTCAATGAAATCAGGAATGACTTTGAGAGAGGTACAGCAATCTGTGTACTGAACCGTACTTCACTGCACTGATACACTGCACAGTACTGTACTGAACCACTCTGTGCTCCACTTCACCGCACTACTAGGTACTGAAGTGCTCTGTGCTCTACTTCACTGCACTGCTACAGTAGGTACTGAAGTGCTCTGTGGTAACTGTACTGCACTGCACTGTGCCATACTGCACTGCACTCTACAATGGTGCACCACACTGAATCTGCACTGTACTCTACTGCACCACACTGAATCACTCTGCACTGTACTCTACTGCACCACACTGAATCACTCTGCAGTGTACAATACTACACCACATTGAATCACTATACACTGTACTATAGTATATTGCACTATACTGCACCACACTGAATCAATCTGCACTGAACTACATTGCACTATACTGCAAAACACTGAACCACTCTGCACTGTACTATATTGCACTATACTGTACCACACTGCACCACATTTAATCACTATACACTGTACTATACTGCACCATACTGAACCAATCTGCACTGAACTATATTGCACTATACTGTACCATACTGCACTGAACTATGCTCCACTACTTTGAACCACTCTGCACTGTATTACACAACTCTGCACTATACTACACTGTGCCATACTGACCCACTTTGAATCACTCTGCACTGTACTATATTGCACCACACTGAATCACTGTGCACTGTACTCTACTGCACCACACTGAACCATTCTGCACTGAACTAAACTGCACCACACTGAATCTGCACTGTACTCTACTGCACCACACTGAACCATTCTGCACTGAACTATACTGCACCCCACTGACTCACTGTGCTACACTACTCTTACACTGCTGAATTACTCTGTACTGTGTTATGCTAGACTGAGCTATATGTATTGTACTACACCTCAGTGCTCTGTACTACGCTGCACTCCACTGAGCGGTATGTACTCTGTTACTCTGCACTATAATGAAATGTACAGTACAGCACAGTGTGTACTGGGCAGTTGTGTACTGCAGTGTATTTCGTAATTAACTGATAATGCACTAGTGATGGGTGTAATCATCTTCTGGATGATGTGTGCCTGGACAGTATTTAAAAAAGATGTCAGTTTTGAATGATTATTGAAACAGAAATAAGATGCTGTGCATGTGTTAACATCGCTTACAGTATATTTTAAGGATGTATTGACATGGTTTTGACGTGTACTTGAACCCCAGGTGACGACCCCCTCACAGACTCTCAGGGTGACCACGACATCGACTCTGTGGCTGGCGTGCTGAAGTTGTATTTCCGGGGGCTAGAGACACCACTGTTCCCCAAAGACAAGTTCAATGACCTCATCGAGTGTGTCCGTAAGAAATCCGCTCCATTTCTCAATACTGCATTGTATAGTGCCTGGGTTACTATATGCATGCTGCACTGGCTGTATATTGTACCTGCACGTAACCCAGAGATATAATTGGCTGAGCCCGGTTCCAGGTGTCTGTGCTGAGTGTGTGCAGGCAGTGGGGTCTTCAATCTCCACCCATGTGCAGCACTGAGCACTGTGATTGGCTGAGCTGGGCTCCGACTGTCTGTTCTGAGAATGTGGGTTCATCAGCCCCCACCCTTGAGCTGGGCTGAGCGCTGTGATTGGCTGATCAGCTGGGTGTACTGAGCAGCCAGTCCACTTCATACTGTAGCTGCAGTTTAGGGCTCTCACAGTTGTTTTTTTGGTCCCTTGATTGATGCAAGGAGCTTTACTCTGAAATAATAGATGCATGGAATCCAGTTTTACCTGCACTGTAAGAGCAATGAGGCCACCTCAGAATGTCTGCTAGAGAGTGGTTTTATCTCTGTTAAATACTGCCAGTGTTGCTGTCCAATGCCGTCACAAACTGGAAGAGTACTTTATATCTGTATCAAATACAGTTTTTGCTCCCTCTCCCTCTGTCTCTCTCTCTGTAGAAGTGGAGAACTCTCTGGAGCGAGCGTGTCACATTAAGAGAGTGGTGTCTTCGTTCCCGCGGCCTGTGCTCGTGGTCATGAGATACCTCTTCGCCTTCCTCAACCAGTGAGTCTCTGCCTCCTCCTTCGCGGTCTCTCCCAGTGTGGGAGCTGACGAGGTTATGAGCTGACGAGCTACTGAGCTGATGAGGTGATGAGCTGACGAGCTACTGAGATGACGAGGTGACAAGGTGACAGGCTAATGAGCTGACGAGTTGAGCTGACGAGCTGAGATGACGAGCTGACAAGTTTAGGAATTGACAAGCTGATGACCTGATGAGTTGACGAGCCGTTGAGCCATCAAGCTGACGAGCCGTTGAGCCTAGAGCCGTTGAGCCTAGAGCCGTTGAACCATCGAGCTGACGAGCCGTTGAGCCATCGAGCTGACGAGCCGTTGAGCTGACGAGCCGTTGAGCCGACGAGCCGTTGAGCCTAGAGCTGTTGAACCATCGAGCTGACGAGCCATTGAGCCATCGAGCTGACGAGCCGTTGAGCTGACGAGCCGTTGAACCATCGAGCCGATGAGCCGTTGAGCCGACGAGCCGTTGAACCATCGAGCTGACGAGCCGTTGAGCCATTGAGCTGACGAGCCGTCGAGCTGACGAGCCGTTGAACCATCGAGCTGACGAGCCGTTGAGCCAT